TTCTTGGGATAACTTTTTAATTTTAGACCTATTGAATAATTTATACTGAATTATTACACAATAAATATATTTATTATTATTTAATTTAAACATTTAAATTTAAATTTTATTTTCTCTTCATATAGTTTTGAATTAATTTTTTATATGAATAATATATTTTTATCATTTTATAAGAATTTTTTCATATCGTGGATCGAGATAGGTTATTAAGGCCTTACATAAAGAAATTGCAAGTGAATATTAATAATAACATAATATTCATTGAATTCTCGCAAAATTTTTTATTTATTATTATTTAAAATGTATATAAGATAATCTATTTTGAGTCATAAATGGAGGAGGAACTGTAAACTAAAATAGAAGAAGTTAAAAGAGAAACTAAATACTATTTTGGCAACAGTTTAAAGCATTACAATGGTATAAACATTTGTAAATCAAAATATATTCACCCCTCTATGAAACAAGTTATTTTTCTTGATAATTTACTGTCCAACAGGCTTAGTGTAACGTATCAAAAAACAATATCTTCTTTCTTTTACCCATTTGCCAAGAACTGGAAACTGCTGTCAATATCCTATTTTTGGCACAGCACTTCTTTCATAAAATGCATGCTGAAATGCCACTTAGTAAAGAAAAAAAATAAATAAATAAAATAAAAATAAAAATTTTCCTTTCTTTAAAAGTCAAGTTTAGTTATTTGTTATGGGTAACAAATGACTTTGTGTATATAGAAAAATAAAGTGAATGGTCAATTTGTCTGCTGTTTGTTGTAATTGAGATGAAATTAAATTTACAACAAAGCTTTAACTTCTTAGTATTATTTAATTTACTTCTACAAATGTTAAAGGAATTTGTAAGATTTCTTAAAATGATAAATAATGAATTTTTGCATAAGAATAATATAAAAATTATTCTCCATTTTGGAATATATTTAATCATCACTATTCATTGTTGTTAGTTAAAATATTCTAGACGGCTTGCATATTATTTTGTAACGATTTTAATTAGAATATTCATAGCTTAATGAATAAAATAAATGAATTTAATATGTTTTATTTAATTAAAAATAATAAAGAAAATGAAGTATTCAATATGTATATGACCCAAGAGTTGCTGTTGAATTCCCAAAGTTCTAAGAACTGTCAGCATATTTATCCAAGGTTATTTAAGCATTAAAGATTATCTCTTCTACTTATTTATAAAAGAAGCTTAGATTTTTATGAAAATTTTAAAAGATGTAATAATTTAAAGTAAACATATTAATGTAAAAATGAAAATAATTTAAAATTTCACTTTCTTTCTTGCATAACTTGTATACAAAACCATTAAAAGTAATGGCAAAATATAAATAACTTAAACAATTTCGTATGTTAAATTGATAAATTTTCAATGAAAATTTTACGAAATTTAAATTTTTCTTTTTATTAACATTTCTGAGAAATTTATTTTAAAATTCTAATATCGAATTTGTTTAGGGATGTACTTTTATTTATATATATAAATATACATTTTGTGAAAATATAAAACTTTCATAAAAAGAAAAAGAGAAAGAAAGAAAACAAGAATTAAATTCAATCAATCAAATTGTGAGTAGAATAATTTTTATATGTTATGAACATTGAAATGCAGATTGTTCCTATTCTGAAAGTCCATTCAACGTTGCTGCACTTGGCATTAAGCCAAAATAAAATTTTGGAAGAATCTATTTGAATACTTTTAAGAAAATCTTTGTGTAAATCAAATGATTTTCTGATAGTCAGTCATGAATTTTTCGTTTTTCGGTATCATCCGCTAAAGAAAAGGAAACTTCTTCAATGTTTGAATGAATAAAAGGGAGAGAAGGGGAAGGAAGAAGAATTTACGTGCAAAATTCAGTCAACTAGAGCTTAACATTGTTAATCATATACTTTAGAGCAAGTTCTTAAATATATAAAATGCATAAAAGAATCTGTTGCATGCTTAAAATAATTCCTTCTAGTATTTTTAAAACTAAAAAGTGTTAGGTTTGTACTGTTTTAAAATTCGATTTTTTGGCATAAGAATATAAATCTTTTTCTTCAAGTATTCGCCATCTGTTTTTCTTACATTATTCGTCCTTAGCTGAATTCATTGTTTTCATTTTCTTAGACAGAGAGAGAGAAAGAGAGAGAGAAGAAGAGGGGGAAAGAAAATGCAAAAATTCTAAAAAGCGTCACATTTAGGAGGATTTATCATACTGGTTTGTCGATTTCCCAATGTAAGCTTTAGGATTACGTTTTAAATTATTTGAATTTTTACTTATGACATACGCTTAGAGAAACATCAAGAAGACAAAATGCTGTAATCAATATTAGGGGGATTTAATCTGATAATAAACACATCAGAATAATTGAAGACGTGGCTACGAAAATTTTTCTTCCGTTAAATGCGTTTTGTTCACATACTAATGCAGAATTTAAACACCAGACAACTATTTGTAAGTCGACTTTATGCTTATTTCTTTTTTGTTTTTTCTTATTTCCGGATTAAGTTATAGTTTAAAAACTGCTGAAAAGTCTGTTATTTATTTATTTTTTGAAGAATTTTAAAAAATNAAAATAAGACTTAAATCGATTTTAAAAAAATCTTTTTAGCTTCTGAAAATATAGATATATATATAAAAAAAATTTTCTTAATTATTATTTTTACCTCTTAGGACATGGACAAGTATACTTGTAGCATCGGCATTCGAAGGACCACAAGTATAATTCCCAGAATCTTCTGGTTGAGCATCCCTGATAGTTAATCGACTTATGGCAGTATCACCAGAAGCCTTTTGTACGGTAGTATCTCCTTTAGAAGAATCGTAATTGATCATTCTATTATCGTGATACCAAAAAACGAAAGAGGGAGGTTCTGGACTTTGACTAATAATACAAGTCAAGTTGATGTCACTACCCGCTTTCACGTAAAGATCAGTCGCTCCTGGGATTTTTGCTTTTGGAACTAGAAAGAAGAATAAGGAAAAAAAAAGAAAAGAACAAATAAATAAATTAAGGTTTATCAATTCTAACTTTAAATTTTCTTTCGCTGTCGTAGAAATACAAACGATTATCAAACGATAAATTATTAACCAGATCTATAATTTGTTCAATACGCAGTTTTAAGTTTCGAAGTGTTAGAAGAAAATCGCGTAATTACTTCACAAATCGCTAGAGGGTATATTGCATACCTTCTATCTAATTAATACTTTTGGCTGTTTTCCAACATTTAATTAGCTAAGTTTCTCGTAAATCCACTAATTAGAAATACTGAGAGCTCTTTTCCCCTTGTCTATTTTATATTTGCAATTCCTTTTGAAATTAACTTAATCTGATATTGAAAACTCGAAAAATAGATTTTTATTTTTATTTTTTTTTCTTCTTAATTATAATAAACAGAAAATTCATATTAAATCGATGAAATCTTTTGAATTATATTTTCATTTTAATAATTACATTTTTTTTTAAATGAAATTTTTCGACACTTACCTACAATACTTAAATATACATAATGACTTATGGAAGGATCAGCACTTATTTGGCATTCATAAAGTCCTTCGTCACTCGGTTGAGAAAACTTTATTTGTAACATCCAATCATTGGAATATTGCCTATGTATAGGATGAAATCGATCGTCACTTGTATATGTATATAGTGCCACTGTAAGCAGATGGAAATCTCGGAGTCTGATCCAGGACACCTGTATAATAATAATAATAATATAATTAATTTTTCAAATAATATAAAAAACTATGCATAATAAATGTAATACAAAAAGATATATATATAGCCTATATAATTTTTAAAACAATTTAGCAAGTTTCTTTTTTAAATTGATAATTTTATAACCATATTCTCTAGATATTATTTTATTAAGCTACATTTTATCTATTTTATTATTATATAATCATTATGTAAGGTTGATTAAGATTAAATAACACTATATAATATTCTATAATTCATATGAAAGAGCATTGAAGATATAGAATAAGACCAAACACTATCTTCAAAACTAATCAATTTTGTCTAAGTTCTGATAAATTTCCTTTATCTTTCAAAGAGTAAAGTTATCATAAAGATGACATTTCATTTGTCTGTAGTTATCGATGTCTTCATTTATCCATCCTCTCCAATTTCTGATAATACCAAACGAAAATTTACTTGACCACCAAGTAAATTAAGCATTAAATATTTCCATTATGCTCTCGTTTCTCCATTTTAAATATATAAAATAAAACCATTCAACGTATGATATATACTCGTATGCTCCAAGTGTTTACATCGCATTAATATCTTAAATGTCACCATTGTGAATTGTCGAGTGTGTTTTAATTATCTTTCTCGTTCAATGCTGTCAATTTTAACTATTGTTCATGTACAATGAACACAAAGACGTCTATATTTTTCTTTAGGAAAAATACTCCAATACATTATTAACATGTCACAACAAAACAATTAAGATGAATATTTAAATAGAAATTGTCCCGATTATTTATAAAAGTATCGCATTATATAAATACTTAAAAACTTTTTTTTTTACATTGTCTTCTATTCAAAACAGAGAATTTTTCTTGAAATTTTAATATTAAAAAATAAATTCTTTTCAACAAATTTAACTTTTCTAATGATTAAATTAATATCTTTGTAATTTTTCATGTTTTTTTTATATTAATAAATTGAATTTTTTATATTAAAAATTGTCTTAAAAAATAAAATCTATAACTCTCAAGCTAAACTCGACATCAATATGGATAAAGGATTGTACAGAATAACTGATTTTTATAAAATGCTTAGAGATCGAATGACAAAAAATCGAATGCCATTGCATCTTACAGTATATTGCGGATAGTTGGGAAGAATGACAGCTTAGATCTAACTTCTTTTTTTTCTAAAAAAAGAATTGAAAAACCTTTGCATATTTTATTACTCTAAAACATTAAAAAAAACAGTTATCGTTATCAAAAAATTTTTTTTATAAAATTCAAAATATAACGAAAATTTCTAGTATTTTATTTTAAAAAATTATATATATATATATATATATATTTTATTATTATTTGAAAACATTAGAATAATACAAAATTAAACTTGGAATGTGTAAGGTTTTTAAATCGATTGATGCAGCTATTGATTAAATGATTTGTGAAGTCCTTAATCAAAGAAAATTTTTTCTTATTGAAGGAGACAATGATTTCTCGTGAGAGATCAAAGGAATAACACCAACAAGAAATTCATCGATGAAATATCGCGACAACTACACAACCATGTCATGCTCCAGTAATCTTAATTGTCCAAATAATAAGAGAAGCCTCTATGTCTTTCCAATGATTTTTATGAGCGTATAGTGTATGAGTCTTTTTCCAGCTTGGATCACAGATAAAGAAAAGCTGTTTAGAGTAATGATCCTAATATATATATATATATAAAGAACTTGATAATAAATTATAAAAATGATATATATTCGTATTTTTTCTTTTCTTTAAGAGAAATGTAAAGAATAGAAAGCTGGATGCATCAACTCTCTCTTTATCTACATCAAGCGTAAAAATATGCAATGAAATATTAATTTTAATTAAAAAAATATATGTTGGAATTTAATCTGTATGCTGTTATCAACGAAAATTTCCTATCAAATCGTTAAAAAATACATATTTAAAAAAAATTCCATTAAGAACAATGTCCAGATATCCATGAAATATTTGATTGGCATTTTGTGCAGAAAAATTTTTATTTTTAATTGGAAAATCATTTGAAGTTCAGGAAAACTATCCAATTTTCTTGTTGTTATAAACTATCCAACTTCCTTTATACTCTTCCATGATTTTTCACCGGAAACAAATGAAAGAGTCAGATGTTGAATAAACCATAAAAGAACTATTCACAAAAGATGAAAACCGATAATTTAATTTAACGCTACTTTTAAATTAACTTTCAAATATTTTTAAAAGTAATGTTAATGAAAGAATAATCAAAATTAAAACTTCATTTAAATATGACAATTCGTTTGCAAATTAGTGCATATGACCGTAGCCAAATTCATTTTAAAGGCTAAATTTTTATCAAGTTGAAAGGAGGGAAAGGAAGAAACTTAGCTTAGGGGCATTAATTCTTCTAAAGCGTAAGCTGATTTTAATGAAAATCTTTCCTTAGATGTCATTATTAAGGAATTAACTTGGTTTCTGAAGATAATAAATAAAACGAAGTAATAAAGATAAAAGAAAATAAATCAAATATAATTTTATCATCTACAAAGAAACTATTTATTGTATATATATATATATATTTAAATCTTATATCGTGCAACAAGAAAACACGAAAAACCTTTCAACTTTACAAGTTATATTATTTTTATCCATAAATACATTTGACGCCATTTTGTTTACAGATGACCAATCTTATCATGTAGGCTTTTGAAAATCTCTATATCAGGGTAAATAACTGTGAGGTTTGTAAGGTTAAAGCGCATTGTAATGTTTGCTTTTATCTTTAAATAGCTTTAGGATACGGTTAGAATGTTAAGAGTTTAGAATCTAACCTAAAGACATTTATAAACAAGATGTGGCTGAAAACTCAAATAAGATAAGTTGTAAATTTTCGATATATAAAGGCATTTAAAAGAACAAAGAAGGCGTAAAAATCGTTTAAAATCTTTGCTGATCTTTGCAGTGGTTGCAAATAGTCGTTGATTGTGTCGCAGCTGTTTCAGAGATTTGTAAAGATGAGTTAAGAATAAGAAATCAATCCTTTTTTTTTTCTTCTTCTTCCTTTTTATTTTTATATATAAAATTTCATTTGTATTTATTGTTATGAAAATATGATAATTTTTCTTGCAACAAATTTTGTAATTGTTTGC